CCCCAAAGAAAGAAGATAGTCAAAACAGAACTGCTTCTGTGGACAAATCAATAGGAAATTTACCAATTGACAAGAAAGCTGTTCAAATAACTGTGGGAAATGGGATTAAAATAGTTTCATCACTCACTCAGCCGTCAAATAATTTAGAGGGCTTCTAGTAGGCTCTTCACTGCTGAGGCTATACATTGTGCCTACTGTGACAAGGTAAATTCTACAAGCCCCTTCCATGTGTAAATAATTTCTCACAGCTTTGTTTTATGAGTCACCTTATCATTTTTTACACTGATTTTAAAATTATTTTGGAGTTTATGAAGTGGTCCCACACAAGTTAAAATTTACATTAATGGTAGAAGCACATATTTGCATTATTAGTTTTCTTCTTTAATTAAGAAGACTTTACTCCAAATTAACAGCTGCCAGGTAGATTTGGCTCATGTGAAGTACGGCAGTCTTTGAGTTTAGTTGGATACTTATGGTAGAAGTTTTCCAGGAACAGACATGCCCTTATGACAACAGCCTCCAAACCAGAGCCCGTGAGCAAACTTCACTCACAAAATTGTGTTACATTGTTTAATGTAATGGGAAATAACTATTTCAAGAAGTTACACCAAAGATAGAAGAAAAAAACCCAACACCTGGAGCTGCCCAAGGTACATTATTTTGTTAGCATTACTGCTAGTGCACCAATACATTTCAGTTATGCTTTTTGGTTTTTTCCTTTCCTCCCTTATGTTCAAAACCTTATAAATCACTTAAATCATACTTAATCCCCTGGAAAAACTGCCCTTCTAACAGGCACAGCACCACCTGCTGCAGTGAGAAAACCTAGCAAAAGTAATCCTGTCCCCAAAGTCAGCAAACTGCCTTCAGCTGGACCCCTGGATGATGGTTCACACAAACTCCAGTAGCCTGCCCACTAGGACACATTTACACTCTCTTTTCAAACCTATGAAGGGTTTCATTCCCAATCCAAACCAACCTGTTCGACATTTTTCAAGGTTATGGAGTGACAGTTTGTTGAGTAAAGATCTATTTTTATCTCTTAGCACATGCCTTTTCATAAATCAATCAGTCATTTTGAACTATAGCCCAAAGAACACAGGAAGTATCAGATGTGTCCATTATTAAGGCAGAAATTTTAGACAGCCTATCACTGAGAAGCTAAATTAGAATTCAATCAACAAAAGCTGATCCTACTGACCTCAAAGATATTAATGTTTTATGCTACATTTCATAGCTCTAAGCATTTAATTTATTACCTGTTCAAAACACAAGGAAAAAAAAAATCTGACAAGAAAATAAAGGAAACACATTTGCAAGAAAAACTATTGTATTCTCATGCTTCAGGAAGGTTACACAAATAACTGGGGAGAAAATGAAAAACTAAAATCACATATTATATTACAAAGGAATGGATAACACAGTTGTGCATAACTCAACTTTTCAGCTATATGATGGCACTGCATACAAATGCCACATAGGAAACTACTGTGTTGTATCTTTACTTGCTTGTAGCTACCTCTAGAGGTTACCGAAACTGCTGAAAGCTTGCAAACATTATTTTCTGAAACTACCATAAATAAGTCTGGGAGGTGAAGGTTCGGCCAATTCCAAAAGAGTAAATACATCCTAATTTTTTCTCCTACTTTACCCTAGCCTGTTAGTTTGAAATCTCTGAGGGATACTCAATACTAACCAAATTCCAAGTACTATTTTTCCAGTTGCTATTTGATTTAATGGAAACATTCTTCATGACTGAGGATGCCAGTAAATTAATGACTTCTGTTAATGTCACAGTCTCATGAAAGCCTATCATCCCCTCCTCCTGACCTCAGAAATGTTCGTTAGAGCACTATTTACGTCAATGACACTTTTCTTATACATCTAAACACCAACACATACACTTAGTTAAAAAAGAAGAAGAGGAGAAAGGTTTCATTAAAGTTACTGGAGTTATTGGTTAATTCTAAGATTTATGCACTAACAAAAATCTCTACCAATCAAATGCACAAACAAACCAAAACCTGTCACTCTCCTCCAACAAAAGGGAAAAGGCTGATGGACCGACCCATCACAGGACAAAAGAGGTTCTTACTTTTGCAGTGATAATCTCAATCACACAAATAATTATGCCGTATTCCGAGTTACATCAGAACAGATAAGTAACCTGGATTAGACAGGACTGTGGACATACAATAACATCCCTGATGTCTGTGCGAGATTTAGAAAGACAATTTTACTGTTCTTTACTAGATCAGTAAGTATTATAGAAGTTATCAGATGATCCCAAAAGCACCGTTCAAGAATCAAATAATAATTAGCACGAATATTGACCTTTTGCTGCAGAGACTACATACAAAAGTGACATGAAGAAGCACAGAAATGTCATATTCTGTTAATTACATGAGCACTTGAACGCTCAGGTTTTTTGTTACCTTTGTGTAAGGTACAGAATCCCAGAATAAACCTGGGAAAGAACTAAACTGTATCAAAACAGTTCAGAAATATATTCTAGTTTTAACTTTAGCATATTCAATATTTTATAAGCCACAGTAATGGGACTTTTCATGTTTTAATAGCTTTATGCAATTCTTCACTATGTTCAAATATCTAAAGCAACGTGTACATTTGATATATTTTAATGCAGCTTGTCAGAACGACACTAACTCTGAAAAATTAGCAATTACTGATTTTAATCAAAAGTTCTGCATAGCTCTCAGTGAGAGAAATAACTCTCATTTCATGTAAGTCATTTGTCTCCACTATTTATTTGGGGTTTTCTGTTTGTTCATTCTTTCTGCACCATTTCAGAGGAGCAGCACTGCCACTAGGTCCTACTGCTCACAGGAGCCTTTCGACCTAAGGCATTTTCCTTCATTCCACTGTGAGAAATGGAGGACCTTGTTTGCCTGCATATCCTGTCATCTCCTGCTGTGTGTCACCAATATCTTACAGTCTCTTTCTTAAATGGATCATGCTTCTCTGAATCATGGATTCTCAGCTGTACGACTTCCCCAATAGTTCGTCCAGAAACTCACTTGTTTTAGTGTGCATGAATCTGTATGCCATTTACAGCTTAGGCTAATTCATCAACAGTTTACACATATTTTCTCCCTGAGTAAAAAGTACACGTGCACTTCTCTTAACTATTTACCCAGCTCGTCTCACAGTTTTCACTCTAGGCTCTTCTGCCTTTTAAATTCCCAGGAAGCCTTATTCTATTTTCCTCAAGCTACAAACCACATTTCTCCCACTTCCTGACTCCAGCTATTTTTATAACAACTAAATCGTACCTACTTGGGAAAATCCCCAGTAATTGAATCCCAAGTACTGACTCAAACGTAAACCTGTATTCTGGTAAGCACAGCCAATTCTTAAAACACAGCAAAGGTCCTAAGATACTTGAAAACCTCTGTGTATTGCAAAACTCATGTTAATTTTCCATACGACCAACCAAAATAGATATGTTGTAAGAGTTATGTCTTAAATCAACTTTGATTTTGTGCTCGTTTCTTTGTGACTGTTTTGATTGGAATAACTAAAGCTTTTAAGAAACCATCGAATAAATAAAATTACATCTTGTATGCTTTCCAAATGCCTGTTCAATTCAGTGGAGCTCATCACAAAGCTAGAGCAAAAAATTCCTCACATATACCATTTCTCATCATGGTATATGACAGTATGCGCTTTATCTAGAATTTTGGAAGGAAATAAGACTTCAGAATTATAACTCAGACTGCATGAGCCTGCATACCAAATATAAAACATAGGAGTACCCGTGACACACTGAGATTTCATCTAGGAACATAAAGAACTGGAAAACTCTGAAAAAGAGTAATCCATAAAGTTGAAAATAGGCTGAGATTATGAAATGCCACATTGCTTGAAATCCCTGAGGGCAAAAACACAGATGACTTTTTATGGAAATGGATTATTAAGGCTCTGAGGATAGACAGTTCCTACTTCCTTCTGGAACAGATCACAAGAAACAAAATAACTAAAAATACACAGGATTTTTCACTCAGAAAAACAGTATTTTCTGAGCTCATTTCAGAGAACCAAATAATTGTATGCCTGATACACAGGAATTTAGAGACAATGCCAGCTAATATAAACAGAAGTGATAATCACAGTCACATCAGAACATAGAAGCCGATACAATAGGTGTTAAATGCTCCAGCATATTGTATCTCACTTATAAAGTGAAGCTACAAATGCCTCTGAAATTCTGTTAGGTGCATTACCTGGGTGGAAAGAGAAGATGCGTTTTGTCAGTGTAGCCACTGGCAAAGCACTGATGGCTGAAATTCAGAGGGTGAAAATGCTCCTCTTCTCCACCTGTGCCTCACCTGCCAAGCCATCTCCAAGTACACCAGACACCACTAACACTCTGGGGCCCTGTACACAATGTCAACTAAGTGCCTCCTGGCAACCTTTAGTTACAGTACAGTGAACCCATGTAAGACACTAAACTAGAAGAGCGAACTTCAAACTAGAACGGTCAGTGCAGGAAATAAAAGCCCCACAAAACTATTCTATAAATATTTAAACTGATTTAATAATATTAACAAATTCACAATGTTCTTCTGATTTAGCCAACCTGACACCATTTTATCAGATGCTAAAGTCTCTCCTAATATTCACTTGAATTATTACAGTTTTATTTCAAGTTACAATATCAAAAATTATTTCTCCTTTTATTTCACAAAAAAATGTAGTCCTAGCATTCCTTTAGCATAGGAATTTTTAACATGGAACTTTATGATGTGTAACAGATTTAAAGACATATTCTTAACACTCAGAAAAGCAAGAAAAGGGCATAACAATGTGTACTCACATTATTTTCGCGTCTGTTATTCCTACTTACAGCACAGGCTGCTCCAGTCATGAGAACTAAAATCATTCTGATTGCAAGAACATCCACCCAGGTATAATAGCCATTCACTTCCAGAGTGTCAGAATGCCAAAATCCAGACAATAAAACCAAAATGGTGACTTACCCCATTTAAAGGAAATGTTTTCCATCCTAGTTCTCCAAGGACAGCTGTAGTGTCAAGTAACACAACTGAAAATGGAAAAAGAAATGGTATGTTTGTGGTATTGCCTAGTTAGACATATGCAACATCAAGTATTAAACAGGTTATGAACTGAATGAGCCACATTAGCCAAGTATGTCTGCTTAAAGCTATTAAAGCAAATAAAATGTCAAGAGTATAAATAAAACCAGAATCCAAACATTGAGGTTTTCATGGCATACATTTCATTATCAAATATCTCAGAAGATGTAAGTCCTAAAACCCCCTAAATCGTTTGCAAGAAATCGCTGCAAAATCACAGTACATTAATGATGCTTAATCATTAAAAGGTGCCTGAACAGGTATGCCCATTTCTGCAACCGCTTGCCCAGAAATCTAGATTTACACATGGACTTGAACATTACAGCATATAAATTAAAGAAAAACAGTTTCAAAAGTAAGATGTTTTAAAAGAAACCATAAACTTATCAGAAATAAAGTTATACAAGATACAAATTGTATAATTCAGAAGGAAAACAGAAAGACTAAGAACTTTAGAGTTAGTATTTTAGCTGGAATATCACAATGCTGAAAGCAGCTACGTATATTTTGCATCACTTCTGTCACATTAATTCTGTTTTTTTAATACAAGTTAAAAAGGATGTGCATTATTGTGCTTGTATACTACAAAGTATTTCTGCACTTAGTATGCTAAATTACATTAGCTTCATTTTTCACTTTCACTAATATTGCAAAAATTGCAGCTCATAGTGCTAAGAAAGCTAACTGCAAAGTAAGTATTTAATACATGAGACATTGTACCTACATCTACTACTGCCCTCTAATGGAATTGTTTCATCTGACCCTCTAAGAACTGTAAATTTAGGTTTTAAACATAAAATTAATTATTGTATAGGGCAATTTATTTTAACTATCAAGTGGGTATGTTTTGAACGCTGAGCTCCTCCTTACAGCCCACAAATTCAAGTTCTTCCTTGGATGGTTAAATGATGGAGAAAAATGAACCTATTAGTTTGGAACATGACACTACTACCCATGTGTTTAAGAGGGGGGTTATGCTGTTGTGCACTATCTTCCACCTCTTACCTGTCTAAACCATCAGTGTACAGTTATCTATCATGTATTTCTGTAAAGCAGTACAGCAGCAATAGCAGAAGCCAGGTCATGGGTTTTTGCCTTGTGGAAAAGGCACCTTGGCATGGGAACCATATGAGCTTGCCAGCTTATTAGAGGAAACTAGACCTAGCATCTTCCTTTGTCTTTCGTATTAGTGACAACTGGAGTTCCTCTATATTTAACTGTATGTTGACTTTTAACCTGAAACTGAAACAGTCTTATCAGCAAATTCACAGTCAGGTAACAAACTCAACATTCACCAAATAAAAGTTTAGTGATTTATTTGAAGAAAGTAATGACATTTTAAAAAGGATATTGAATAAAGGGCAGCATTCTGCTCTCCGCTTCGTCACCCCTGCACCAGTTTATGAAGCTTTGTGAATAACGAAGATAAACTTTTTTTTTTACAAGCTCTGTTTTACTTTAAGAAATAAAAAAAAAAAGAAATCACTATTTCCACTGAGACCATTGCTGCCTTCTGCTTACTTAAAAAGCTGAGATTTACAGCTTCTACAGTATTTTTTACTTGCACCAGGCTACCATACACTTGTTGAAGAGTCAAAAGAGCATCTTCCTATTTGGCCCGTGATGCAGAAGTTACCTGGGTAAACCTTCAAGTTACAATGTACCAGGGACCTGTCACCTCCAAAAGAATGAAGCTGCTGGGTTCAGCTATCCCCTTCTCACAGAGAAGGCCAAATGCTCAGCTCGTTTCTGAGAATATTTCAGTTCCTCTTAGGAGTTTGATTTATTCTCTCCATCTCTCCTCCCCGCCTCTCTCTAGCCAGCAGACTCCTTGTAAATATACTCAGTTTTCAGCTAAGGTTATACCTTGCTACTTATGCAGTGCTATTCTGATACTTGAATTCCTTAAAACTTTGCTGGCAGCAGGACTATGATTTAATAAACATTGTCCAGGTAGTCAAAAACAATACTTCCACGGAATGGGCCCCAGAATACAGCAAGGAAAAATAACTCATTTCTTCAGCGGAGCTTGAATTAATTAATTCCTTGCCCAAATTAATCAAGTACTACTTCAAAGCTCAAAGCTATACATTAAAAATTAAGAGCTAGAGTAAATCCATCACTGAAAGCATGCTAAGTTTAAATTTAGTTGAACCATAACCATAAAATCATAGGATGGATTGGGCTGGAAGGGACCGTAAAGATCGTCCAGTTCCAGCTCCCCTGCCATGGGGGGATATACGTTTACCAAATTACTTGGTTTTCTTAAAATACGATTTTTGATACATTTTAGGTACCAAGCCTCTGGTATGCTTACATATGCTTGCTTATAGCCACAAAATCTGTTAGAACTTCAAACCTGAGAATTCAACCCACCACACTATTAATCAGAATTAGGATGCTATCACCTGCATAGAATGCTACCACCTTCAGACTCAGAAATGAAAATCATAAAAGTTAACACTGTTTTTCCAACAGTATTTGCATTAAAAGACATGAAATTATTATCAATCAAAAATATGCAAATACTGGCAGATCAAGTAAACATTATAGCACAGAAATACAAACCCCAGTAAAGTGGGGGTTATAGGCAGGGCTGGCTATACAAATGAGGACACGAATAAAGTAATAAGATCTGCATACACTTCAGTGATTCGGAAATATCTACATGATAGACTTCAGTGTGGGACAGAGATACCCAAGCTATCTTTAAATGAGGTAATTAAGAAGCAGTCTATCCCCAGCAGCACAGACCTGATGGCAGACAAATTCACACTGCCAAGAAGCTTCCAACTCACAGCTCCTTGGCAAAAACATTTTTCTGCCAAAGAAACCCAGACTAAGAAGAATGCCCACATGGATACATCTGAAACTACAAACAGGAGTGAATGCTTCTCTTCTGAGTGCAAACCAGTAGAAGTTTCAAGAGAACTGGCAATTCATAGAATCACAGAATAGATAGGAAAGGACCTTAAGATCATCTAGTTCCAACACCCCTGCTATGAGCAGGGATACCTCACCCTAGACTATGTCACCCAAGGCTCTGCCCGGCCTGGCCTTGAACACTGCCAGGGATGGAGTGTTTTGCCATTGCAAAGAGGCTAAAAACAGATAATGGATGCTACATGTATGATGCTTAAAATGAGAAAATTCCCTAAAATGTTAATGGAACCAGGAATGACCCTTGTCCCTCCATTTACTTAGTTACTCTTTTATATGCCATAAAAAGTCCCATTCCTCCTGCATTAGACTTCATGCACTATGACCATCACAGACATTAGCTGCCAGCATAAGCAAAAGTATGTGTCTGGAACTGACATGGGGAAAAAAAAAAGCTGTAAATAAATAGGTTGCAACTAAGCAACGTTACTGACATTTTTGATACCCAATCTCCACTTGCAACAGAGATTAAAACTTGCAGAGTGAACAAGAGTGAAATGGTGCAGGTCTGCCACTACAGAGTCACACCACAATTCAAAATTAACTCAAAGATCCTTTAAAATAATCTTTTTCGAGAGCTGGAACTTAGATTTAGCACTTTCATGTCCTTCCTTAAACAACTGAGTTAAGAATACTGTAACGTGCCCAACAGTAATATATGAAATCAAGCATACAGCTGCAGACATATTAAGTGTCCTGTTCATACTTAGAATTTAAGTGTTTATCTTTGTTTTCCAGTACATACTTTAATAGAGATTTCATTATTATAACTCATTATGACATACTGAGCTCCAGTTTCCTTTTTTTTCTGGACATATCTTACACTGCTATTATTAGACTTTACAACTGAAATTCATCTTTTCAGAGGTTTTGCCTGGTCCTGAGAGAACTGTTTTATTTAAAATTATGATGAGCAGAACTCCAAGGGCAGTGTGGAATTTTAATTCTAATTCCAAAACACTGTTCTGACGATGAACTCTCCGATCTTGTCTGCACAACCAAGGACAAAACTTCCCAAGCATTCATTTCCCCAGTTTCTTTTCTTTCTTTCCACGTCTTCGGGCAGACTGACCTAACACTTTTAAATGAATAAAGGACTGTGGCCAATCGGATGGAATCATAGTCCAGCATCAGAATAGGCCATGAGATCACACAGCTTGATCTCCTGCTCGTTGCAGACTAACATTCCACAGTTACAGCTATGGTGGGCAAGCCAAAGATTCGCAAGGAAAATAAAATGACAACCAACCATTAAGTTCTGAAGGCAACACTAGTGACTCAGGGAGCTGCAGAAAAATAGGATCACCTGCACTATTCTGAAATAATTCCTTCCAAACATATATGTTAAGATAAAGAATTCTGCCTATTTTTATATCCTCTTCATATACCTGAGGTCAGATTAGCCTGTTTTTGACTGCAGCACTGCGCTCCCAGGCTGTTAAGTCTACCAAGTTCACTGTCCTTTACAGAATCACTCCTTTTCACCGTTCTTTTTCAGTCTGGGTCGCATTTTTGTTCTTGAATGTACAAAGAGCCATTTGTTTATATTAAAACAAGTTGTACTTCTAAGAGCTGACCTTTACAAAGTGATAAAGGCTGTTCCCTGTATACACACCATCTTTCTTTCTTTACTTGTCTTTCGTCAGCTATTGATTTGATATTTATTTCCATGTTACTAATGAAAAATGCTGACCGGTTAGGATTTAGGATTTTGAACCTCAAATTCTGTGATTTCACAGTCACCGAAAACTACTTTGAGGTTTCTCAGACCTCAGGTTTTTTTTAAAGTCATTTACTAAAAAATTTGGTAAGCTTTTAGCTGTCAGAAGTTAAATATCACTTTGTGATATTTTATCATACTATAAAAAAATCTAAACATATTACCTCTGTGCCTTGTCTGCCTGAGGAGGACAGAAAGAAGAGAGAAATATGCAAGTGCCCTTTGGCAATTAACATGTAAGCAACTGGGAAAAACTATTTAAATGCTTGGGATTTTTTTACTAGGTTT